TTTCATTTTCATTATTTACTTTTACTTATAAGCAAACATTACTTACATGACAAGACTACACTACTACAAGGGCAGATCTAAAGGCAGTCATTTCAAAGCACTGTCAACATTCCCTATGATGATTTTGGTTTTTAGTATACAATTGTTCTGCTCTGCATAAATCACAGGATAGAAATTTTAACAGGTGTGTATATCATACTTACTTGACAGAGAACTTTCTGACACTACTAGCTTGAATAATAAAAGCATTTTTACTCCCATTTGGCACATCTTAAAGTGTGTCAGCATGTGTGTGTTTGTTCAAGCATAAATGCCTATCAGAAAAACTTCTCAACTTTGGGATGCAATTGTTTACAACTTTCCTAATAAGGATAAGAATATGACAATCATCTTTTGGAAAAAACAAAAAACCATACTGAGGTCTTATACTTAAAAATAAATGCATGCTAATTTTGCTTTTAAGTGAATTTTAAAAAGCAAAGATGTGAAAACAATAACTGAAAAAAACCTTAATTGCTATTTTACTTTCATTGTTACTAAGATATTTTGAAAGATAAAAGATTTCAGATTATTTGAAATAGTACCACTATACAAGTTAAGTCTAACTACCTGTTATTGTGCTTGTTTTTAAAATGCATTGCACTGAAAACGCTTTTAATAAAATACTCAGAACCCAGTATCTGATCATGTAAATATATAAATCATCGTTTTCTCTTTATTAGTGTATATTAGTTGTTCAAATGGGTTCGTGGTGATATTTTCACATAAGCATAAAATGTACTTTAATTTAAAAAATAGCCCATTTTTATGAAACCAAAAGTAAGCTTTTCAAAAGAGAAAAATATCAGAATCTATGGAGAGGAAGTTTAGAAGAAGCAACTTTGAAAAAAAAAGATCATACCTCATCGGTGTTATAGATAATCTGGAGTCCTGAGGAAATCATTTCCACAAGATAGAGAAGAAAGAGGGACACAGCATTTATCTGAAAATAAACAGCAAGTAGATAAAAGAACCAACAAAAATGTATGCTATGAAATAAAAAAGACAAAGCTCATAATCATTTACTCTAATAGTTTCTTATAAAAATTATTTCCTTTTCTATTGTGAAATAAAAGAATTGTGGATTTCATTCATGACAAAATCCCAGTTTTATATGTAAAATCCTCAAACTGATTGTGATATTAACACCTCATTAGGAAAATGATTGCAAGTAGAACTACCAGAACTATTTCTAGGATATTATTTCTGAAAATTTACTTTCAAGTTCTGGGTTGTTGAATATACTTCTACTCTGGAATAGTTTGGCTCTGAAGCAGGCTATGCAATGTCACACTATTTGAAATTTGACAAACAACCTAATGCAATACTATAGATAATGTAAAGACAGTATCTATTTAAAAGTAGTCTTGTTTTCAGACAATACAGAATTTATGGAAATAAAGAAACCTATTAAATATGAACAAATAAGATAAGCTATTACCTTATAAACCTGTTAAAATGCTTTATATAATCAAATAGTAAAAAATAATAATATGCACCTTATCAATAAAATATTTGCATAAAATTATCAATAGGATATGTAAGCTCACAAAAAATAGAAAAGATACATACTACAACAAGAACAAATCTTATGCAATATTTAATTTTCATTGTCAATCAGACTAGATAAAGGTGTACTTAGGATCCAGCTGGGTATGCCTGTGTAGGTGAATCTTACCGTAGAAGGGAGTAGCAGGTCAGTCAATGGACTGAGTGGTGGAGATCCACACACATGTGGATGGGCACTATCTAATTTGCTATGGTCAGAATTTTCCACACAAGTGGAAAAGCAAATTCTTGTTTTCTATTCTAGAGTTAGGACGTGCTTCTTTCTTTCCTGCCCTTAAACAGTGAAACCCCCGATTCTACAGCTTTGAAGCTCGAGGACTCATATCATGTGTGGTCCCCTCTCTAGCAGTACTTAGTCTTCTGACCTTCAAAGGAGTTATCCCTTCATTTTATTTGGTTCCTATGCTTTCTCAGACTGAACTATACTACTGGCATCCATGATTATCCAGTTTACAAATCAAATGGAGCTTCAATAATCACATAAGGCAATTCCAAAAATGAATTCATTCAAAATTGTCTGTCTGTCTGTCTATCATCTATCTCCTGTTGACTCTCTGGAGAACTCTGAGTAATATATCTTCAATGAAAGAAGCCAGTCATAATATATCATTTAGTATATGGAGAGAAAAGGAAAATTCACAGAGACAGAACATAAAACAGTGGTTGCTTAAGGGTGAGGAGCTTTGGGAAAAACGGAAGTGGTTGCTAATGAATATAGGAATACTTTTTAGGGTGATATTTCAAGATAAGACTGTTGTAATGGTTGTCCAATTCTGTGAGTATACTAGAAAATATTGATTGTACACTTTAAATAGGTACACTTTCTGGAATGCAAATTACATCTCAATAAAGCTATAGTCAAATATAAAAAATACGTAAAATGTTTAACTTACATTAGAAAATTATAAACATAAATTTAAAACATGTAATTTTGTTCATACACAATTTTAATGTAGCACTTTACTATCTCTGAAGTTTTGATGGCTTGTGTTTCTCTTTAATTTCTTCTGCACTAACTGATTGACAGAAAGTTTGGGTGAAAACTTATTGGTGCTATTCAAAGTCTTGGAAAAAGCAGCTCTTTTACCACAAGGACTTGCACTCAGGAACCAGAACTAGCCTAGACAGATTTGCTAGTATGTAGAGGCTAGTGGGTGTCAGGATCTTGTCAAGGTACATGGAGGCCATACAGGAAGACAGAGTATTCAAATTTTAGATCATTTAGATCAACATTAACTTTTCAGGGGCCTTCCTCAGAACATGGTAGAGAAGAATGTCACTCCACTGGGAGGCTCATCTTCTAACACTGACCTGTCAGAAACAATTTCAAATAATTTTAACCTCTAAACAGAAATTACAGGAGCACTTAAGAATAAGTAGAGAATAGCTCTATGCTCTGACTGGTGATATCTCTGTGTGAAAATGCCGATGACTGGACGACATAAAAGATTTGCCAAGTAGGTTGTCTAACACTTATTTAATGTCTAATTACCAGCAGGAATTAAGCTTAAAATGTTGGGAACAAAAGCAAAAGAACTGGAGCTAAGCACAATAGTCTGAAATCTTAGCCAGAAAGATCATTTGATTCCAGAGGTTTGGGAACAGCCTGGGCAACATACTTAAATAAAATAAGTTAATTAATTTAATTTAACACCAAATCCAAAACAAACAAAATTAAAATAAGTAAATTAGATATAAAGCAAAATGGAACAGAACAAAATCCCCAGAAATACACATTTTTACAACCAATGGATTTTTGACAAAGATGCATATACACCAAGAAATACCTCTTCAATAAATGACACTGAGGAAAAAAAATACATATGCAGAAAAAAGAAACTAGAGTCCTCTCTCTCATCACATGCAAAATCAACTGTCAAAATAGATCAAAGTTAAATGAAAGACATAAAATTATAGTTACTAAATATCAGGCTATTGGTTTGGCCAAGACTTTTTTGGATATGATACCAAAAAAGCACAGGAAATAAGAGCAAGAACTGACAAATATAGGAAAAAAAAACAATCAACAGAGTGAAGAGACAACCTATAGAATAGGAGAATGAATCTGCAAAGCAATTCATTAAAACTTTCCATTAAATGGATTTCCTATTCAGTCTATAAGGAATTTATTTCCAAAATACTGAAGAAATCTAACATATTAAATGGCAAATAAGCATGAAAAACAATGTTCACTAATCAACAAGAAATAGTAAATCAAAAATCAAATGTGATACCATAAAATCATAATTAGAAGGACAAAACTTACCAATACTTATAAGAACGCTATTTGCTATGGGAATGTAAACAAGTACAGCCATAGTAGTATAGTATGCACACACACACAGACACACACACATACACACACTCACAAACCTTACACATAATGCATTATTATTAGTTACCAAAAAGAATGAAATTCTATCATTTGCAAAATCATGGATGGATCTACAAAACATTCTATAAAATGAGAACACCAGCACAGAAGGAGAAGTACTACACATTCACAAGATAAAAAGCTTGAGAATAAAATGGTAGTTACCAGAGCCTGGGAATGGAATAGCAGTGGCTGTATAGAGGGATAGAGGGATAGTTAACTGGTACAAGGGTGTATCTGAACAGGAGAAATAATTTCAAACGTTCTATAACACACTAGCCTCATTATAGCAGATAAAAATAGCTAGTAAAAGATTTTGAGTATTTGCATCCCAAAGAAATCACAAGTGTCTGAGGTAATATGCCAGTATCTTATCTTATGATTGTATAAATGTATTCCATATAGGTAACAAGATGTTAATTGCAGCCCATGGATTCATGGAATTACAGTATTAGTTAAAAATAAATGTAAACTTTAAAAATTACATGTATTAGTACACATTCAAATAAATAGAAAATAAGTGTGAAAAACAGCAATAAAAATCCTGTAATCCAGCTGGGCCCAGGTGGCTCACGCCTGTAATCCTAGCTACCCAGGAGGCTGAAATCTGAGGATCACGGTTCAAAACTAGCCCGGGCAGGAAAGTCCGTGAGATTTTTATCTCCAATAAACCACCAGAAAACTGGAAGTGGAGCTGTGGTTCAAGCAGTAGAGCGTTCGCCTCAAGATGAAGAGCTGAGGGACAGCGCCCAAGCCCAGAGTTCAAGCCCCATGACCGACCAAAAAAAAAAAAATCCTGTAATCCAATTCTCCAAAAATGATTACTGCTCTATTTTGAATTAAGTCCTTCCAGGCTTTTTAATGGCTTTTGATAAATAGACACACAAAGGTTTATTTTAAAGACAGAGGCAAAGTAATGTTGAATAATTTGCATTTTAAATTTAACAATTTAGTATAAGTTTTTTGGTCCATAAATACAACCATGACATGATGTAAGAAAACAAGTGAACTGTAATCTTGTGAAAACTCTATTTTAGTAGTAAATATATTTGTCCATGCAAAGCATAAATATTGAATTATCTGATAGCTACCAGGTTAAAGTGGAGAAACTACACATTAATTTTAGTACTATTTCTCCAAGGAACTGTGTATAAATACAATAGTTCCTATTGCTTAAAAATGAGGTCATTGTACTTTGTATGTTGAGACAATATAATTAAGACATTTCAGATGTAAGGATTACAAAATGAAGACACTCTTAGTTAGAGTGTAAGAATTCAAGATACTTTATCCTGAAATAGTGAATTAAATGATGTGCAGGAAGAAAATGCAATATTTGTGTCCTAGAAATAAGGCCATAGGATGTCCAGCTAAAATAATACATACAACATATGATGAAAGAAAAATAAAACATAAAAATAAAACCATACTAGCATAGGTGTAAAACTTAATAATAAAACAAAGTTTATAGAACTCAAAAGTTTCCATGTGGCATTTAAAAAGCATGACAGCTTTATCAAATAATAATTTAAAAATGATCAATGTACAATAAAACTTCTGATTTGTTGTTACACTGCTATCAATTATCTTTTAATTCCTAGTTTCTAAGTACTGATAGTCTTTTAAATATATAAATAACAGCTTTTCTCATCAAAAGAGTAGAATGGAAGGCTGCTGTCTTTTTTTTTAAGACTGCTGTCTTTTAAATAAAAGTATTATATGATACATTCAGCTGTCCCAAGAATCCAGTCAAATTTAATATTCAATCACAGTAACTATTTAGACATGGTGGTAAGCACTTTACTTCCTTCTCTATTTCAAGGTTCATTTTACATTTCTATTTTAAAATAATTTATGAACCTACTTAAAAATTTTAATAGCCTTACATATTCCACGATACCACCTCTATAGAAGTAGAAAATTTGAAATCTTTTTGTACCTGAAGATGTCCATATTCTTCATAGGAGAGCAACTCATCTCCTGTATGCACATTGAAAATAGAGTGAAGACATGTGGTTGGGCGTGGATCCTGCTTAAACTGCTGGACCTAGAACAAAGTATAAAAGTTAAATAATGCTAGTAGTTCACATGGTCATCTCAGACTAAAGCTTGTGTTATTTCTCATGTAACTTTTACATGCAGAAAGATAAAGCATATGGCAAAATGTTGAACAAAAGAGAAATGTTACCTTTTGTAAAGAAATTACATAGGCAAACAGATAATAACCAACTTAATAGAGTTAAGATGACTACAACTCAGTGTAATAGGGAACACTGAAATGTAGTAACAATAATTTTCGCAATGTTTTGCATTTTATTTTTAGAGTAAAATGTTGATTTTGTTAAGACACAATTTCATTGATTGAACTCTACTGTACTGTTACTTGAAAATGTTTACGTAACACTCATGTAAGAAAGCACTTTGGGCCACACTCTAACAGATTAACTGTCCAAACCTCAGGTGTAATTTCTATCAATAAAAGACCACAAGTTTTAACCTATGGTCCTTTTAACACATTTTCAACTCTAGCTCATACACAAGCTAATTGTCAAGATACCAAAATTACAATTGAAGTTAAATAAAAATTTAAAAAATAAAATAAAAAATTCAGTTCCTCAGTTACTGGCCACTGTTCAAGTGCTCAACAACCACTATGGCTACTCTATTGCTTGACATCATGACACAAAACATTTCCATCATTATAGAAAGTTCCTCCCGAGTGTGGAACTGATCCACTGGACTGCTGCAGTTTTTCCTTCCCAAGAAGCCTGCACAGACAAATACACTCCTTTTTTCACAGCTGAAGTACCTTATCAATAAAACCAAAGTCATTAGGACTGAGAAGATGCAGCCGGTAGTTAGGGATGTACATTCCACATTATATGATGAATGACATCCAGTGTTGATTCAGAGAAAGTGTTACTTATCTCCAGATCATAAACTACTAGGAATAACCTGACACTGCATAATTAGAAAGCAATGTAATCACTCCAAAAAACTGCCAGATTTGAAATAAAAGGCATGTTCCTCATGTGAATATGATCTAACAGGATAAGGCTTTGTCAGCTTAATAAAGTCACTGCTGCAGTTGACAAGGTGGTGCTTGTCATTTGTCTTCAAGATATGCAGCATCCCAGCAGGAGAGTTTATATTCAATCACTGTTTCAGAGGGAAAAAAAATGACTGCTAAGTGATTAAAGAATTATATAACTCGGCTTTGAGTTTTAAAGCTTCTAAAAGACAATTTAGAATTTCAAGAAAAACTAAGATCCAAACTGAATAAGCTTTGAAGATTAATAGGGCCCAATGCATGTCAACCATAAACAAAAAGTACTGCTGAAAGCAGCTAAAAACAAGAACATTAATTAGTATTTTATATGATATCTGGCATATGGCAAGAAACGATAAAGAGAATGGTGATAGTAAAATTTTGTAAACTAAAGTAAATCTACAATTGTGCTTTTATTGCATTTTATTTAGATATTTGCCTAAAAACTTGCCACTGTGAATAAATACCGTATATAGGAAAAGGTTAACTGTTTTGTCACTGACTCTTCCATGTAGGTATATTGTTGTGGTATTTCCACATGTGTATCAGACTTGATGCCCTTTATTCTTCTTTCGTGATTTCTTATAATTCTATTAAAAGCTTCCACTTTTTATTTTCATACATTTATCTAATGTACTTAGGTAATATTCACATTGCAATCACCCTCTCCTCCCTCTTTCCCTTATCTTCCAGCAAGTAACAAACAGGCCCCTTTACATTCAAGTCATGTTTGTCCGTTTTGTGTTTTTGCTCTGAATATAAGAGAAAACGCAGCATTTGTTTTTCTGAGTCTGGCTTATTTCACTTAATGGGATGATATCCAGATCCATCCATTTTTCTTCAAATGACATATAATCTTATCCTTTATTGCTTAATAATATTCCATTGTATTTGTGTATCACATTTTCTTTCTCTTTTTTTTGTGTATCACATTTTCTTATCCATTTGTCATCTGATAGTACTGAGGGTTATTTAATAGCTTGACTACTGTAAATAGTGCTGCAATAAACATAGGAATGCAGGTATATCTATAATATGTTGATATTCAGATATATGCCTAGGAGTGGTCTAGAAAGATCTTAGTTTTCTTCTATTTTAGTTTTTAATTGCAGTATTAATTTACATTGTCACCTTAAGTATTAATTTCTTCTCCCACCCACATGTCTTCTCTAGCTTAATGTCTTTCTTGATAACTGTCATTATGACTAAGCTGAGACTCAATCTCAATTTGATTTCAATTATTCTTATGACCATTCTTCATGTATTTCTTAAAAAAGATCTGTTCAATTTGTTCCCTCATTTATTAATTGGATTATTTGGTCTATACTGTTTGGTTTTAACTTATTACATATTCTGATATTAGTTCTTTGACAAATAACTTGTAGTAATTTTCCAACCATTCTGTAGATCATATCGTTATTCTGGTGTTTCCTTTGAAGTACAGTGGCTTTTCAAATAATTTTATGCAATTCTATTTGTAAATTCTTGCCTGCATTTCTTGAGCAATTAGTGTCCTATTCAGAGAGTCACTGTCTTTGCCTTCAAGTGTTTGCTTATGTGCTCTATTGTGTAATTTGGAATCATGTATTGTGATACTTCCAGCATTGCTCTTTTGGTTCACTATGGCTTTGTTGATTATGGGTCTTTTCTGCTTCCCTATAAATTTTAGAAATGACTTTATTTCTATAAAGAACATTTGAATTTTGAAGGAGATTGTATAGAATTTGTACTGATTTTGTTAATATATTTTTCACAGTATTTCACCAGTCAATAAAATAAGAGGTATTTCTATCTTCTAGAGTCTTTAAGTTTTTCAGTTTCATAGATTTTCATTTTAGAGGTCTATTACATCCTTTTTAAACTTTTATTTTATTGAAAAGATGCTGTACTGAGGGGTTACAGTTACATGAGTAAGGTAATGAGTACATTTCTTCTTGAGCACTGTTACCCCCTCCTTTTATTTTCTCCTACTAAAGGTTTATTCTAAGGTATTTTTGTGCCTATTATGAATGCAATTTTGTTCTTGATTTCTTTCTCAGCATGTCATTGTCATATAGAAAAGTTACAGGTTTTCAAAATGTAGATATTCTATACTGAAATTTTGCTTCAAGTGCTTATCCGAACCAAAGATTTTGGGTAATCTTTGGGACTTTGTAAGTTTAGGATCATATCATTTGCAAATAGGGATAATATCACTTCTTCCCTATCCTAATTGTATCTCTTTTCTTTTTCCCCCTGCTTCATTGTTCTGACTAGAAATACCAGCCCTATGGTGAAAAAGAGTGGAAAAAGTCAACATCTTTACATCATTCCTGAAATCAGTTCTTCCCTACTAGCAATAGTTTATCACATACAGCCTTTATTATGTTGAGATAAGTGCTTTCTATTCTAATTTTTTTCAGGGCCTTTATCATGAAAGAAAGCTAATTTTACCAAAGGCCTTTTCTGTATGTAATGAGATGGTCATGAGATTTTTTGTCTTTGATCTGTTTCTGTGCTGCATTGTATTTTTTTTATCACATGGGTGATTAAGTAGATAATCTTTTAAAGTGTCATTGAATTTAGTTTGCAAGTATCTAACTGAGAATTTTTTAACAACTGATTTACAATTTTTTTATCATGCACCTATCAAGCTTTAGTATTAGGGCTAAATAGAATGAGTTGTGCAACATTCCTTCCTTTTCTATTTTATGGAATAATGTGAGAAACATTGGGGTTAGTTCTTTAATGGTCTGGTAGAACTCAGCAAAGATACCATCCAGTCCTAAATGTTTCATTGTTGGAGACTATTACTATTTCAATCTCATTGCTCATTATAGACTAATTTAAGGAGTTTATATTCTCTTAAAGTTTTAATAGGCTATTTGCATTTACAAATTTATCTATTTCTTCTAGATTTCCCAATACATTTAAAAAATATTCCCTAATGAAATTAGTGATATTTGTTGTACTAGTTCCCTTTTTATTGATATAACTTGGATTGTATAAAATGGATAATGAATGATTTTAAGATATGAATGTAACTGTGCTTTCTGTGGATAAGACTTCCCTGGTAACTAACTAGCTATTTTAGCTTCTGTCATTGCTTCTGCAGTTTTCTGAACAATGCTTGCCCTAACCCAGCTGAGCCATCACCACCCTTTGTTCTATAACCTTGCCTCCCTCCAGCAAAACCTTGCCTGGGAAATTTAAACTTAGGGTGCGAATTTCTTCTAACAATCATGAGCTAAAACCAACACCCAACCACCCCCTTTCCTACCCCCTAGCCAAAAATGCTTAAAAGCTAATGTGGGCTGGCACCTGGGGCTTTCCTGTGATTCCCACATCCAGGTAAGGTCCTGGCAGTTCAGCACTTTTCAGTCAACAAAATCTTTTACATTTTCACTGCAGAACTGAATGGTCTTACTGCACACCCACAGTTGGGTCCTCTCCCTCTTTCTTTCAGTAATATGATTAAGGGCTTGTCAATTTTGTTTATATGTGAAAAAACAACCCCTTATTTCACTGATTCCTGAGTGCTCTTTTAGTTCCATTTCATTAATTTCTGCCTTGATCTTTATTACTTCTTTTGATCTACTGGCTTATTCTTACTTTTCTTTTTTTTT